ATCCTACAAATGACTGCATTGATGGTTTGGCTATTAATTGGCGCGGCTATCTTTCAACGGGTGATCGGGATCTCTTTCGCCGATGCATTGTTCTTCTCCGATGTCACTGTTCTCACATTGGGGTATGGCAACATAGTTGCCACCAATGCCGTTGGTCGAGGTCTTATTTGGCCATACGCAGTCATTGGAATTATCATTCTGGGACTGGTTGTGGAAAGTACCTTTAAATATGGTCGTGAGGTTCACTACGATAATGTTATTTGGAAACACATCGAAAAGAAACGGCAATCCACTTTCGAACAATCACTCATCAACGAGCTCGAGTCTGCTAAGGATAAACTCTCGCCTAGCGGAGTTATCACCCCTCCGGGTCTCACCCGCCAAAACTCCAAGACTCGACGCCATCGGCATCACCGGCCAATCCGCAACACCATCAACGCTATAGCCACGGCTCGCCGACCCAAGATTCTCATCATGCGTGAAGAAAAGGATCGTTTTGATGCTATGCGCCGTATTCAGTTCGAGACTATGCGTTTTCGTCGCTGGAACAATTTGATCATGAGCGTCGTTGCATTCGGAATCGTGTGGTCCTGCGGAGCAGTGGTGTTCTGGAAATTAGAGGACATGACCTACTTCGAATCACTCTACTTCTGCTTCACCTCTCTATTGACGATTGGCTACGGTGATATCACACCGCAGTCAAATCCTGGAAGACCTTTCTTTGTGGTATGGTCTCTAATCGCCATCCCAATCATGACCATGCTTATTTCCGAGATGAGCGACACAGTCGTCGCTAGCTTCAAACGCACCACTGAAGTAGTCGCTGATTACGTCGTGCTTCCTCAATCCCATGTCTATAAGTCATCCTTGGGTCGGATTCCTATCGTTTCCCAGTTCTTGCTGGCTCGCGAAGCGAAAAAGCGGCGAGGACGCGGTTTCCCACTTGAGGGGGATGATGGGTCCGACACTGGGGAAAGAGCGAACCCTGAGGATTCTAGTCAACCTAATATTGAAAGCGATGACTTGGCCGAGTCTCATCCGCACCGATCCCTCGAAGAACTTGTCCGGGATCCGACTCCACTCGAGCTTGCCCAGCAACTTGCCTTCGCTATTCGCCGCGCGTCGAAACAGGCACTGGAACGCAAGAGAAAGCGATATTCCTACGAAGAATGGGTCGAGTTCACTCGGCTCATTCAGTTCACGGACCCGCGAGCTCGGCGACCATCATCACAGAGAAACCAGCAGGCAAGTGAGGAAGGCCCTTCTAATGGTGAAGACGAATATGGAATTCTGAATTGGGACTGGATTGGTGAAAACAGTCCCATGCTGGCAAAACAGACAGAGCCCGAGTGGGTTCTAGATCGGTTGTGTGAGAGCCTGATTCGGTACGTGTCGACTCAAGGGGAGAGTCGGGCTGTAGGAGATGGTGCAGATTTGTCGGAGGAGCCAACTCTGAGGAAGGAGAGGGATATTGGGTTGGAGGAGTGATTTTCGGTATTATTGTTGTCCACGGGTACATATAGCTTGTATTAATTCAATGTTAGCACAGGGAACATATGCTTCCAAAAGAGGAAAGTGGGTCCAGGTCACCTGTTGGTGCCTGAATATTTGTGTCTGCCTGGAGATCATGGCCACACCACGCAGATAGTCAAGAGAAGGTGTCTACATACACGTACCTGACTGCACAGCTATATGATAGATGCACCCTCCATCCACTCATTGACATATGTCTTCCTTCAACAGGCCAAGCCACAGTCATCATCAGGCTTAGTAGAGTCCCCCACATACGTGGCGTGGGGCTGTGTACCTCCGTCCATTCAACTACACTCTGTCTAACATCTGCCAGCTTATATCAACATACAATATTTCTCCCTTCGCTAATAAAACCCCCATCAAATATGACAGCCAACATCCCTGAAATCCTCCTACTATGCATGGACATCGACTTCATAACAGCCTTCAACGATGCCCTTAAAACAACCTGGCCAGATCACAACCCAGAAAAACTCAAGATCACCCCAATAAACGAGCGCCTCAACTCCCTCCCCGAAGCAACAACCTTTGACCTAATCGTCTCGCCAGCAAACTCCTACGGCCGCCTCGACGGAGCCTTCGACCACGCCATCTCAATGACCTTCAGCCCGCGAAAGGACTACCACGCTCTGACACGCGCAGCGCAAAAAGTTCTATATGAGAAATGGCGCGGGTTTGCGCCACCAGGCTCGTGCACACTTGTCGAGTTCCCGGATTACCTAAAGCAGAATAAATACGGCTGTGAATGGGTGGCTATTTGTCCGACAATGCGTGAGCCTGGAGATGCCCGCTGGGACCGGGAGGTTGTCTATGAGTGTGTGTGGAGCTTGTTGTGTCAGGTCGAGGGGCATAATCGCTCTGCGGAGGGGAAGGAGAAGATTGGGCGGATTCTTATGACGCCGTTGGCTGCTGGGATTGGGAAGGTTAGTAAGGAGCGCTGGGCGGTGCAGACAGTGCTCGCGCTGAGACAGTTTGTTGACGCTATTGAGAGGCCTGCGAGGTGGGGTAATTTGGGGTGGGAGCATATTGACGAGGATTGTCTGGAAGTTGAGAGGACTTGGACGTTGTGAGTTGTGGTTTTGACTGGCCAAGATTCCTATGGGTTGGTGTTGGGAAATGCGTGTCAATAAGATAACAAGCTTTGAAGATATCCAAGAGCTATATCTCTCCCACTGTGCTTCTGTAAGCGAGCCATTCCTTCGCTGCGGTCCATTTTAGCTATCAATTTGTCTCTAACATTGCAGTGGAGCGGATGGGGTTCGAGGGCGAAGAATGCGGCTGCGTTTCGCTTCAGGTAGTGGTAGCATTGAGAGATACACAAAAGGTTACAGTTCTGTTGTGTTATCAAGAGGTGGTATTGGGTTTACTACATTCCTATGTCTCAGTGGCCATTTCGTACTATTGTCCACATAGGTATGCATGTCTTTTTGATACTTCCACTTTCCCTGGCCACTATTTAACACCAAAGTATCACAATATTTACCCGCCAAAAAGGAGGTTCTAGCCATTCCAACACTTTGCCACAGCTCTACGGAGTACATAATAGCCCATTCTTTATCAATCATTGATCGACCCAGGCAAAACTGCCACGGAGCGGGGCGAACCCACGCTTGGAATGTGGCAACCAGGCAAGAGAATCTTGGTACACCATGTTTTGCCCGTTTGCTGAAGAAGCTGTGTTGTTTTCGTGGTATGCAGTATGCAATCCAGTGCTGGAAGGATCTGATACATTTCAGAGTGCGGGTACTTGCAGGATGGGGTATTGGCAGCATTTCCCATGCGAGGATCCCTTCCTGTCAGGATACTACGGCTGATTTTTTCGATCAGATAGAATGTCGAGTCAGCAGAGTTTCAAGTAAACACTAATGTCTTCTACCTGGCTTGGTGTGTGCAGATCAGAGGTTTCACAGCATACTTGGGGGAATTTTTGCCTTAAGCGCAGAAAGCGCCCGTTTTTTTACTTCTGTAGGAATTACATTCTGTGTGGACCTCACTTGCATCTCTTATTTAGTGCAGGAAGCCCGCTGAGATGGAGGAAAATACATACACCCACTGGTCAAGAATCACATACTTGACCTCATCCCCAAGCTGTACCTAGACCAACAACACACATAAGATGACAATCCAATTCCCAATCATGCCATTCGACTATTTTCAACCCAGCCCAGCCAAGAAATTTGTCTCTCTCACCAAGCACCCCCGGGTGACTGGTGGAAAAGTCAACACGGTCTTTCACGAGCTCAAGCCACTTCAGCCAGACGACTTGATCGGCGAATGGGACGGATATATCCTTGCCACGGGTCACCCATTTGAGCACGAGCTGGACACGCTAAATTGGTTCGGCAATACATTTTATTCCACCGACGACGTGGCACCACTGATGGTTGCGCGGAACGGGGAACGGGTGCCCTTTGAAGATTGGGGGCGTGCATCCGTAAGTCATTTTTCTTTATTTTGTGACACATTTCCAAAGATGCATGGCTATATGCAGGTGTGGTTGTGGATTTCGAAGGAAGCTTGTATGTATTTTGACTCGGGAGATCAGGTCTGACATTCTTTTCTTGACAGCTACGTGAAATCAAATATCATGGAGTTGTCTCTGCAGCTTTGATTTACGATGAGCGACCCATGATGGTCTATTATCGAGCTGTGAAGCATAACATGGTGGCTGGATGTATTGAGAGTAAAAAGTGGCAGGGGAAAGTCTACTTCTATTTGACGAGATAAGTAGATTGTTATATTTAGTATGTAGTCCGCAAGTGTTGGCTTGAGTTAAGGATATTACGTCTAATGCTTGAGCGTGATTGTATAACTATATCAGATCTATGAAGTGGTTCCTCGCCACGGCAGTCTGCTGTTGAAGATTAACCTTTGCCAAACAGCTTGGCTACTTTTATTTGGCCATATCAGACTGCATAATGTAATGCAGACCACCCATATGTATCAGTCTGGTTCGGGTCATAATACACCTTCTCTAGGAGAGCTTTTATATTTTCGTAATCACCATTAGCGGCAGCTTTTCTGAACTCTGCCGATAATTTTGATTCATCCCATCCGGTATAGTCAAGTGTCTTCAATTCACTCCGACTTTTCCTATATTGCGGATTTGGTAACCCATTCTTCATGTCCTTGATCATGCTCTGGGCACTCTGCGTGTAGTAAACAAGTCGTCAACGGGAGGGAAAGGACACGTCAAGATTCATGAGCGTGCAGAATATTCAGGGAGCATTCAAGTGAATAATGGGCTGAAGGCCCTGAAGAGTAGGCGGCAAGATGGACTTCGAACGAATAAAAAATAAAAACATACAACAGCGAGGATTCGCTGGTGGCATCATGTAAACTACCTATCACCTAGTTAGTTGGTGAGCGCAAGTTTATATCATCGTGAGTCCAACAAGATTGGAATTGGCGATTTTTCCTTTGCATGTTTTACCCAACAACTCGTGAAGAAATCAAAGTTCTATATCATGGCGATCCATTTTGTCTACGATGGACTAGAAGACTTTTTAAATGTCTTAAGGGACCAAAAGCTTTGCGCCGAGGAGGCCGGATTCGATTTATTGGTATTTTCAGAAGTCGAGCATGACTTCCTACGTCGCCACGAAGCTATGATAGAGCGAGAAAAGCTTCGAATATTTAAGTATGCGCCGGATAAACAACAACTCATCCTCAAGATGCCAATCCGTGCTGTCTTTGTTGCCCAGGGAAGGATCTTCAGATATTTGACACAGCAAATGACAAAGGTCGGAATGAAAGATGACGACTGGATGCTTCTTAACGGAGGCGATTTTGAACTTGAGAACGGGTGGACTGTCGAGCCAGACCTGGCACTCTATTCAATGGCAAATAATAAAAGGACGTCGTTGTTTCCGCGTATCGTCTTTGAGATTGGAATTTCGCAATCAGTCGAAGAGTTAAGAAGCCGTGGAGACGATTATATCCGGTATTCTGAAGGGAAGATCAACGCAGTAATTTGTTTACATGCGCCACAAAACCAAAGTCACATCAGCTAGGTAATATACAAGGCGTTCAGACGGCCTGATCAGGACCAGGCTTTTGAGTCAGTGATTTGGGGTCGTGGTTTAATTACGTTCGATAAAGATGGTCACAGTATTACCACGGGGCCAATGATCATTCCTATCGGAAAGGTTCATCCAGGCACCCCGGATGAACTCGAGTTGAGTGAAGAAAACCTCGTCAAAATCACTGAAAAATTTATGCTGGAGCGCTGGCAGGAGTAACCAAAGATTGGACCCTCTCTTCAAGCTTCCTTTGGGTATCCTGTGGAAGTATCTTCTTTGGAATGGCTGCAGGATGGGGGAATAAGTGTGACGTGCCAGGTCTTTCAAACGAAGAGTGCATTTAATTCAAAGTAACTAAAATGGGGAGAAGGAAGAAGCAAGTTGCAAAGTGGGAGGCAGCCAGTTAATATTAGCTATCCCTTTGCCAACGTTGCAAACAACCAACCTTCTCGCTTCGCTATCTAGCAAACAATCTATGGAATACAAACCGGCAGACTATGCAAACAGTAAGCAAGCAAGCAACATGATAGACTGGATGGGCTCTGTCGACTGAAAGTGGGAATGGAGTGTCTGTCCACTTTGGGGTGAGAATTCTCACCCGCTCTCACCCCTCGTCATCTTTACGCTTTTTTCTCTCTTTCCTTGTCAACTCAATTTCTAAAATCCTTCCCTTGGACCTTTTTTCTCGCAAGCCGTTGTCGTCTCGGTCAAAATAGAGCGCCCATGACCCTTCATCTTCCACAGCCATGAAACCCTCCCAGCCTTCCAGGGTAATTCTCCTATCAATTGGAGTGCAGTCCCACGGCCCAACAATTTGGCTTTGGGATTCTTCTCGCAGGCCGTACTTCACTTCATATGTTTCTTCGTCCACGTATACCCAATTTAGTTGCGGAGGTTCATCGGATATTGTAGAGACCAGTCCTTCTCCTTTGCGACCCCAGTCTGTGTCGGGGTAGGGGAGAAAATATCCAGCGAAAGGATGCTGAGGGAATTTGGTCTGACCCTCGCCGGTAGTCACCGCAATGTATAGCTGGTTATCAACTGCATTAGCGAACAAGGGGGGACAGTATTGGGTTGCCGGATCTCTTCACGGAATACGTACCTTGTTGTTGCGCAACACTACGGCGCATCCATCAATCTCGCTTCCTGCGTATGAGGTCCTGGCGCAAGAAACAATCAGATTCGATTTCATGCCTCTGTGTTGTTCTTTCGCATTCTTTCTTTGGCCTTGTCGGACTGCTTCGGTAGTTCCAATGATTGCAGGACAAGCCGCTATGGCGGTAATTATTCCTAGGACCATGGTACCCTTGGTTGTTGCTCGGATTTGAAAATTTTTCGGAGAAAATTTTATTCAAATATGACGAGTGAGTAGGAGTGGAGGTTCGCTAATTTATTTGCGTGAAACGCGTCACTGAAGAGTATCTCATATGGTATCTCGTCGATTTAATCTATTTCATCCCTCTTCCACAGATAGCGTTTCATGGCGGATATTATGACGCGTTATATCCACTTCACGCAGCTTAGCGTATGTCTATCTTCTAAAATACAGGTTATAGATGCATACACAGTGGTGTATCATGCGGGGGTCATGGTGAGCATTCATCTCTTTCGATTCATATAAAGTACTACAGCTTTCCACTATCCTCCTTGTAACTATACATTTTGCTATACCAATTCTCAATTATCCATATCAATCCACATCATGTCCCAAGTGTAGGTCTTTATCTCTTCGTCTTCAAGCCTCAACCGTTCTTCATGAGACTAATACCATCTACAGACAACAGCAAGAAGACAGCGCCGAGGAATCCGAAGAGGAACTCGAGCCCTCACCACCCCCTCCCAACCCTACAGGCGGCCGCAAACCCGCGAAACTCGCGGCGCGAAAGGCAGCCATGACAGAGCAAGCCTCTGCATACGATGAAATACCCGCGCCCCTCCCCGGGAGAAGGATTGGTCCCATTCGTGAATCGCGGATCAAGGATCGACCAGCGAAAGTGGGCGAGAAGGACAGCAGTTTGAAGATCAAAATTGAGCTGGATCTGGAAGTCGAGGTAGAGCTCTATGCACGAGTCAAGGGCGATGTGACAATCGGGTTGATGTGATAATTAGGTTGAAATCTATGCGAGAGTCAAAGGAGATGTTACCATTGGACTATTGTAAGATGTGAGTTTGTTTTGAACTCTAAGGAACGGCATATTGATAACATAATGCAGTACAACATAGCTTGGCCTGACGCTCTCCCTTCGAGTCGTGCACCCCGCTATTACCCTCATCGAACAAATACGACCGGGGTGCTTCTTGGCACTTGCAAATGCATAAGTGCCAGTGAATTAAGGGTGAGACAATACATAGTCCGTGAAGGACGTTATTATTGCGGTTGGTCTTGGGAAATGTCTTGATAATTCACTTTGTTGTATTTTGAGGTTTTACAGGATAGTTGGACTTGATGCAGTGTGGAAAAAACACACAAAATTGAATAGCACAGTCTAAACGGAGGTTATAATATCACTAAACGGAATGACCGACACATCAATCCCCAAACGTCATGCCCAGATGGTAAGGTGGAAGGATACGAAGTTCGGGCCCAGTCGTCGAATACCGTAGGTTGTATGGAGTGCAATAGTGGAGTAGCCGCTCAGGCCTATCCACGGATATCTTTTCCAGGTTCAGGTACTCGGCATGCAAGATTCCAGGTATCTTTTATATAGCATGGCTATACAAAAGGTACATCGGAAAATATCACCGTACATCTCTATATATAGTCTTCAGTTTCCCTAAATTATCTGAGATTCATTTATCTACAAATCCATTTAAATAAATTTGACTCTATATGAACACCATTATTCTTTCCTTTAACTAACTAGCCAGAGTTGAGAAAACGAGGTATTTAGTGCACGTACCTTTCGCGCTTTCTGGGTGTGGGACCTCCCGAGGTCACCTGATATCATAAGGATGACAAACCCCACGTAATTCGAGCTTTGTCATCATTTACGCCTCAACACTGGTAAATAAACTTAGTAATTCTGGTTTTAGGACGGTTCCATGGATATCTCCTTTGGTAAACACTGCTGGCATACAGCACATAAGATCGAAATAAAGCAATTGAGAGATGAGAAAACTGAGAGCTCACCTATTCTACCATAAAGCTATTCAGAGATCACCTGATTTATCATTATGAAGATTCAGAGATTATATGATCTATTTTCATAAAGCTATTCGGAGACCACCTAATCTACTCTGTATCACTACGGAGTATAGAGCAAGTAAATTTAAATTAATTCTACCACTACCAATAATAGAGATAAACAAATTCTAAAAACGGCATTTTGGATACTAGATATATTTATTATCTAATAAATTGAATGCGACCGGTACTTGATGATATTTATGGCTTAATTGTACGAAGAAGTGATTTAATTTTGACAATATAGATCAGATGCTACGGAGTACAGAGTAGTCTAAAAAGGTAAAATGTTAATAATAATACTCCCTGTGGACCTGGGGTATAACATAGTCGTAGGTTAATAGGTAACCATACCATTTCTTTTCATTTTACTTCCTGCATATATATACTTCTTATACCTCGCTATTTACACAGTATCTTAGTAAGACTTATACCTTCGTAGTGGCACGATTCGTCGCCCATACTAATAGTCATGGTGGTACCTAGGTAGTTAATTGAATCTAAGGCGGTCATCGCGACCACATCTAGATCCATGGATGTATCCATGGGGTTCAGCCTATCCCCACATCATAATTCACTCTACGCAAAACTCATCGCTGTCCAACCACTATCTTCGAATTGTTACAATGAAGGCTCAGACAGGGCTAGAAGTAACCATTCTTTCCTCGTCTAATAGTCTTTCAAGTGACCTTGAGTCGTTGATCGGTGAAGCGATTCAGACCTGATGGGACGTGCTTGATCATCAGAGTCAAAGGACAAGCAAACTTTGTCATCTGGATCCTCCCAACCGTCGACTTATCTCCATTTGACTCAGACGATGCCATCAGGCAGTGTCACGACTTTCTCGTCGATGACAAGCGATCAACACTGTCCATTGTCTTTAACTCACTGCTTCACGGAACGACCAGGACATTGCTATACCTTCTTGTGTTTATAAGGTTCATGGGACTTACTGCTCAATATATCCGGCTCCCATTCATCGAGCAGAGAAGTCTTGATGAACGCGCAGCCCGTATGCAATATTTTAGGTATCTTTCATATGACACGCCTGTATAAAAGGTACCTAGATATGAGATTATTTAGGGCATCTACCTTTTATATGAGCATGCTATACAAAAGATACCTAATTCTTACAATTTTACTTAGTGGCCTCGGGACACAAAAGTCACCTGGACAGTCAAAGACTAAGGGGCGAATCAGTCACAAGGCACAAATTCTGACACTAGCAAGAAAAGGCTGTTTAACCGGATGGAAAAGAGAATCACCTCTACAATATACACACCGAGGAATACATCAATCGCTCACATGGGCACTCGTTTTAGCTTACGGTGAGCGATACAATGTCTTGGTACACCGCTAGATATGCCTGGGATTGACCTTGTACTATAATAACAGAGCCGGGATTGCGCTATTATTATCAGTCCCGGTTTGGAGCAGACGGGTACTATAAAGAGGATGTGGTTGGCTGTCCTTAATTCAGCCCTATCCGATACTACGCCAGTGCTCTCCACTATTGCGTGCTGACTATTTATTTGTTCACAACTTTGAGCTCCCAGCAGAATACAAAGGAGTCATTAGTTGCAAGATTTGCAATATCATATCAAGATCGCCCTGAAGAAGTCGACTATTCTACCTGTCTACTTGTTTACGTGCAGGTCGTAAAAAGACAGTCGGATCACAAACGCCGAGGAATTAACTTTTCCCCCTCGGAAAGTCGCCTCGTGCCGACCACAGGAACGCGAAAATTCTGTCAGGCTTTCACCTGTGAACATCTATCTTTTACCCTATACGCACTACGGAGTACACATTCATACTCGTGGACATTCAGATCCTGTCAAAATGGAGAAGACAGACGCCGCGGCTGCACCCGATCTCGAAGCCCCAGACGTCCCTGCCAGAGAATCCAGCCTCGCCCAACGATGGAAGCAGAACCTGACGCCCACTCACGCAGACTTCATCTGTCTGCTCCTCACTTTCCTCACCGGTCTATGCGATAGCAGCGCCTACAATGCGTGGTCCTGCTTCCTCGGAATGCAAACCGGTACGAGTCATACCTGCCGCTCCCCCGCAAAGGGGGCGCAAAACCCAAACCAACAAAAAAACAAAAAACAAAAAACATCCGGAAACACAATAGAAAAACTAACAATCGCTCCTCAAAACAGGAAACACCATCTTCCTCGGCCTCGGCGCCTCCAATCAACCAACTAACAAGCCATGGGGCTGGCTCAAGTCCCTCGTCTCGATCGCGTCCTTCTTCTTCGGCTCGATGATCTTCTCGCTCGCGATGCGCACCGTCGGCGCCCTCCGCCGCGGAACCCTCTTCATCTCATTCCTCGTGCAGACCCTGCTCATCATCATCGCCGTCGCCCTAATCGAAGCCGATATCATCCCCCACACCTCCCATGACGCCACCCTATCCGGTGGCCCGCTTTTCCTCGAGTTGATCCCAATCGCCCTGCTGGCTTTCCAATCCGCTGGTGGAATGACGTGCAGTCGTGCGCTGGGCTACAATGAGATCCCGACCGTGGTCTTGACGAGTGTCTACTTTGATATTGCGTCCGATCCAAAGATCACCGATAAGCCGACGACGAACGTTAAGCGCAACCGTCGTGTTGCTGGCGTTGTGTGTCTCCTTGTCGGTGCTATTGTCGGCGGCTGGCTGAGTCGTAGCAGTGGTGGTATGCAATCTGCGCTATGGATGGCTGCTGGTTTGAAATTCGTTGCTGCGATTGCGTGGTTGTTCTGGAAGGCTGCGCCGGCGAAATAGATTCGCACGGCTGTTCAGTGAGTTACCTTGTTCTGGGGTTGTAGAGGTCGAGTAGATTACAATTTATAGTTAGTTGTGCATATATCAATGTTAATAGTTTCTGATCCAAGTGTTCGTGTCTTTGGTATTATTCAATCCCTCTCAACGTCCAGTGTACTTGATGTACTGTGTTCAACAATGTCTAGGCTTCTTCCTGGATATGCTGGTGGCCGTACTGGCTGTTATCCTGGCGGCTGCAGTGGTGGATAGATTCGATCCCGGAGATTTTGGTGTCGCCCTGGTAATGGCTATGACCTCAAATCGTGTTTTGATGCAGCTTATCAAATATTGGATGAATATGGACAGGGCTGTGTCGAGTGAAGGTATATGCAGCCACGACTGAACTGGAGGAAATACAGTTGGTCGAACGCCGTCGTTACCTACACAATGGCCATCTTCTGGGGCAATCGAATTCTCCGTAAATTCCCTACCGTGTCATTTGGGCAATTGCGTAAAACTGCGGACCTTTTTTAGAATTCAGGCGTGGTTGCAAGGCACTCGTGAGCTACATACCCCGGAGAAAGGAGACATGGCTATCGGTCTGCTAAGTTACTCACATTCATCAGGGCAACACTTCCTCCCGTTCTGGAAGGTACCTCGATGTCCATCTGAACTGGAGAAAAGATTGCCTTTTGCGGCCCATCTGACAACGGAAAGACAACACTGATCCTCGCCATCCTTGGTATGATCCAATTCGAACAAGGCACCATTTGTATCTATGGATTGGACTTGTCGGAGTATTCCAGAGCTGAAACCAGAACCAAACCAAATGTTATTACACAAGATCCCTTCTTGGTAGCTGGCACAATCCGCTTAAATTTTGATCCCTTCGAGGTGGCATCAGATGATGAGATTATCTTATGTTATAGAATAACAGGCTCTCTACAAAAGGTGCGACTTATGGGAGAGGATTGAAAAAGAAGGTGGGCTTGATATGGCCATGAAAGTCACTACCTGGTCTCAGGGCCAGAAGCAACTCCTCTGCCTCGCTCGTGCGATGGTTCCAAAAGGCAAAGTACTAATCCTTGATGAAGTGACGAGCAAGTATGTATATTTTGACTCGATGGAATCTTTGGAATGAACACTAACATCCATTTTTGCAGTGTTGACAGCGAGACCGAGAATTTCATGCAATGCAGGAAGTCATCAACAGATTCAACACTGAGTTTTCGACTCATACTGTCTTGGCAGTTGTGCATCGGTTGAGGTTCATCCACCATTACGACCGTATCGCTCTTTTAGATGACGGTGTCATGATTGAATTCGGTTCTCCCGGGGCGCTGATGTCAATGAATTCTCGTTTTAATATACTTCATGACTCGGGAAATTTGTGAGTGCAGATCGATAAATATGTCCGTACCAAGTATTGCAGTACACAATAGCTATTAGATCAATATCGACGATGGCTACCTGAGCCTGGTGGGCTCAGATGAGCTCATTAAGGATAACATAAAGATCCCAGATGGCGATCTCGGAAGGTCTATCGTGGACCGCTTTGACTCAGGAAGAGACCTATGTATGCGATGTTCATCGTTGTGTCCATCTGGATCAATTGCATCGTCCCAAGTGCTTACTGTACTGTATACTATGGGTATGCAGGCGGTAGTCAATGCTCGCGAGGTTTAGGCAGCATTCGTTCTCGGTTTTGACTATAATTCCTTTTTAATGCGATGGCAGCAGGAGGACGAAGCATCTGATCCACTCAATCCGTTTTACATTATACAACTGCCATTCAGCATTGTTCTCAGTATTTTGAATCCTGTTCCATATCGTTGCCCAATGCGCTTCTGGTTCGATAATGGCAATTTTTTACATATCATGAGATTCAAACTAGTCATGGGTTATAAAGGAGACAAAGTACATATGAGCCCCGCTACAGGCCAAACAGTCCACCGAGTATGATACATAGCGACATAAAATCGACTCGTAGCATTAGAGAGATCAAGTAAGAGATTAGCAGACCTTCAGGCCATGAATGACCATACTAAAAATAATCAAGGGATTCCCTTTCTTAACTCAAGTGGGCTTGTGAATAGTTAATGTTGGTGAGAGAAGGTTATGTGACGCATGATCAGGTACAAAATGCAAACCCTTCCTTGACGACGGAAGATGCGTATGCAATCCAATACCCGAATAAGGAATTCCGTGTCTTGAAGGTTTTGGAAACCAGTTATGCGATTTCTAAGTGGTTCTCGGGATTTTGCCGTGGTTTCCCGCCAGACTCACGGCTAAAGTATTTGCCGGAGATATCAGCTTCACCAACACCCGGGGCCCCGCAAATACATGTACATGTACGGAGTACTATGTACATACATATAGGATTTGAGGCCGCGGTCGATGAATTTTTCTTTCCGTTTAGTGCTCATCCCCGCTTTTTGACAACTGTGAATTCCCCGCGAGCGACGTCATCACCTGAGCAGCCTCGTCCTACTCCTGAGGTCATTGAGCAGCACTTCCTAGGCTGATTACTCCATTGGCTTGGGAACTTTCTCACTGCGCCTCTTTTTTTCTATAAACATAGAGCGATGCTTACAGCGGTCTCGTACGCTCTGGGTTCAATGTTAGCCTTCTCTGGATATGGCGGGGAAGGTGGGGGTGGGGACGGGTTTAGATGGGGATTGTCGCCATCTTCAGGCACAGCCGTTGAACAGTGGGCACAGTATAGCCGAGGGTAACTTCTATATCGATGTTTTTCGGAAGTGGGCGACTTTGGATGGGGACTTTCTAGGTGCAAGAGCGATGGAAAAAGCATGGCTGAAGTGCTCTACCCCAGCTCATTCCGAAGACTGTTGGGCGAGAAGTTCTACCACGAACTGGATCTCAGCATCTCTGTTCCTCTGAAGCTACGTTTGACATCATAGATCATATGAGAAGTTGAAAACTAATGGGACACCATAATATCCAATCGGTTGTAGATGGCTATAGCAGGTGGCGAGGCATTTGTAACGGCAATAGACGGATTTCGATATCCACTTCAAACTTACTTGGTCTTCAACTATTTCTTCAAGAATCGTATCGCATATATAAAAGATAGCGTTGATCTTTCGAGATAAGTCACAAAAGTATATTCTCAAATACTCTTATTCAAGTTCAAAATGACTGTCACCACAAACGGAACCACCTTTTCCAACATCTCTATCAAGCCCTTGCACCGGACTTTCGCTGCCGAGGTCAGTGGTGTGGACTTTTCGGCTCCCTTGACGGATGAAGTATTCAAGGAGATACACCAGGCTATAACAAAGGTATGCCCCACATTGCGAACTTGCATTATGCGGTCTTCGAATTGACATTGTGGTTACAACGCAGTATGGTGTCCTCATCTTTCGTGGCACCGGTCTCACGGATGAGGGCCATATCGATTTCTCTAAGAAATTCGGCGAGTTGGACGACGTGAAGCCGTATATCAGCGCTGGTCGGAAACACCGTCTCAAATACGCAGAGCTCTTCGATGTCAGCAATGTCGAGGCCGACGGGACCATCCTTGACCCTACAAGCCCACGTTCCCAAGCAAACAAGGTAAATATCTTAGTAATGGCCGAAAGGAATCTCTCTGCATAACAGTTCTGACCATCACGGGTACACAGGGTAATGACCTCTTCCATGTGGACTCAAGCTTCAACCCTCGCCGCGCCGGATACTCCCTTCTCCTAGCACATGAGCTGCCACCGAGTGGCATGGGTGGCCACACTGCCTTTGCAGACACGAGGACGGCATTCGACGATCTCTCGCCGGAGCTTAAGGAGCAGCTATTGGCCAAGAACTACATTGCTTGCCACTCTATGCACCACTCTCGCAAAAAGGCCGCCCCCGAGGCCTTTGCCGGCATCAACCCGCTCGATTACCCTATGGGGCGGCACCAATTGGTGCAGCGCCACGAGGCATCCGGTCGTATGAATTTATACCTTGCGGCCCACATTCACCATATTGAAGACCTTACTCCCGAGGAATCACAGGCGCTGTTTGACCAGCTGTTCAAGCACGCAACTCGCAATGAGAATACCTTGGAGATTGAGTGGGAGCAACCGGGCGATCTGGTTCTTTGGGATAATACTTGCACTATGCACCGGGCTGTTGGAGGGCCTTTCGTTCGGAAATACAAGCGCGACATGAGACGGACGACCGTTCACGATTCAAGCTCGACGGCTTGGGGATTGAATGAGCACACTGATGTGAGGCAAGGGCTTCCTTGAACTGTTGAAAATGTAGCGCTGGGATATCCATGGCTTGTATGAATCATTGTGATGGTTTATATGTTGATGAAGTCAATCCTTTTTGTGTTTTACTCTGTATTTTCTGAACATCAAGTCATTTTGAGACATAAATTGAATACCAATTGTTTCGCTTCGTCCTATTCTGCCTTGTCATAATTATAGTTCTGAATGAATGCTTCCATTCTTGCACAATTTGCAAGGTTCAACAGTTGCAGCATACAGAATCTACGTGTATGGAGACGAATCAACCTACCGCACGAGACTGAAATATAATGTTCTTTGTTCTAGCAACTAATACTCAGCGCGATCCTAGAAACTTAGAACAATGCATAAACCATTCAATGCAAAACCGCCTATCCTATCATAAGAATTGGCCATGACGATTAATTAAATTTGGCTACAAACCACCGACTCAGCGCCATATAAGACAGCTATACATTGCGAAGCGAAGCGCATAACATTAAGGAGGGCCCCCTGAGCCACTATACCTAGAAAAGCTGCTAACTACGCCCCCGTGTATATGAATTATTTACTGACAGTTAAAACAAGGGTCTGCAACCCTCTTCCATGTCTCTCCATGGAGAGAATCCTCGTATTGTGCAGGCCGCAGGCCTTTACGCTGCAAGGAAATTCCGTGAACGTTGCGGTTTCCTATGCTCCAGCCTCTGAGAAAATGAACCCAAGGGTAAGTTTCCGCGCAGTTCCCGATCTTTGTGTTGATATCCTCGTTGTGCTCACGCGCCGGGGTTTTCTGGTATGACCATCCCCGCAGTGTGAGGTGTTCGCCTGCAACAAGTCTGTATAAAGGAGGCGATCTTTGGCTTCCTGAGTCTTATTGGGATTGTGGTAAACACGACGGAGTCAGTCGAGAATTGTGCTAAAATCATACACGCTGGAATCGCGTGCGATAGCGAGCTGGGGAAGGACCATGGCCTGAACTTGGCTTGCGAGATTGAGGTAGACACAATAGGTCTGGGCGGTAGAATCTCCGATGGCTGGTTCATCGATTGTAAGCTTTGCACGATAGCGGCATTTCATGTATCGTATTTCTTGGGGCAAGGGAGAGAGATGAAGAAGGATAGATTCTCTACTACGATCGAGATCGAGATTGTTTAATAGCCATGTGAAGCCTGACAAACACATCAGCATGTGATCAGCACGTGACCACCACAACAGTATCTCACTGACTGACCGGTAAATTTCTCTGGATCTGGAAGCGAAGACTTTGGACATCTTGCTTGAGGAGTAGGCAGATGTTGAACCTGGGCCTGGAGAGCTGTTGAAGGTTCTGGATCTCGCCTCGAAGGTTGTCAATGGTAGTAACGTGCCAGGTCTTGCAAGGAAGAGTGCATTCAATTCAAAATAACTAAGATGGTGAGAAAGAAGAAGCAAGTTGTAAAGTGAGAAGCAACCAGTTAATATAGCTGACCACTTCGCAAACGTTTCGGCAATGTGAGATGAGATTGAAACTGAGTTCTGAACTATGAAATCCGACAGTGTCAATTCGCCTCATTTAGAGAAGCTCAAACCTCTACTACGAAGCTAATTGCGAGGACTAAGTAGAAATATTTCCCATGGAAGTTCTGAACCAATCTAGGTCTTAAGACTATAGGTTACAGTTTTCATAACGCTGATGCAAGTCATCTAAGATAAAGAGTTGCGCCATTTACTCCAAAATATCAAGTACTGATGACTCATGAGAAAGGAAGCCATGTTGTATTGTGTGTGTGTGTGTTTTCTAAGAGAGAGAGAAGAAGGAAGATTGAACAAGGTGGGGAGCAGTTCCTATCAACCTAAGAAACGGTCTTAACAAGTACACGACTTTAAATCTAACACGACACGACCTTGCAACTTGCCGCCCTTCATCTCCGCAAAGACATCATTGATGTTCTGTACCGTCTCAACACGGAACGGGGTCGAGACTACCCGTTTTGCCATAGCCAGGGTTTCCATTGCCTCTCGACGGTTGCCAACAGTGCTTCCAACAATGGCCAGTTGCTTACCGACCATTGCGTGAGGATAAGCGCCGGCAATCGGCTGTGGATCACCCGGAACACCTACGCACACCAGTGTTCCGTTGAACCTGAGATATGAGAGGGCTTCCGCATATGCAGCGTTGCTTGCGCTGCAAATGACGGCCGCTGAAGCGCCAAGCCCACCAGTAATGGCCATTATTTCGTCGGAAATGCTCTTGCTTCCATCATCAAGGAACTTGGTGACATCGATGAAAGCTTCGGCACCACACTCCTTTACAAAAGATTCCTTGGCTCCTATATCCAAGCCGATGATTCTGAATCCCATGCCTCGGCTTCCGAGCTGCACTCCCAGATGACCTAGACCACCGCCGGCTCCAGTAATTACCACCCAATCCCCGGCCTGGGCTCTGCTCTTCTTGAGGGCTGAGTAAACCGTAACACCACCGCAAAGAAGCGGTGCAGCCATCTCACTTGCCAACCCATCCGGGATCGGTGTCACATAGTGGGCAGGAGCCAGAGCGTATTCCTGGAATGTGCCGGGGCATGTATAGCCCGAGATTTCGGAGTTCGCGCAGATGCCGTCGGCGCCAGCCAAACAAGGCATGCAGTTGCCACAGGCGGACGCAACCCATTTGATGCCAACACGGTCACCAATCTTGACTCCGGAAGCCTCACATGACGGTCCCAGCTGGGCGATGATGCCGACGCCTTCGTGGCCGCCAACCTGACCGCTTTTTACAGGCTCTGGAAGCCAGCTCCACTAATGAACGAGTTTCAGTTAGGCAAGACATCCCACGAAATTTCTGTGAAGAAAGATTGGTCTTACTGTTTTTGTCATGAGGCTGAGATCCGAATGGCATACTCCGGAGTGAGTGCTGGCTTGATGTCAGTGCTATTCAATAACGCCGAGGAGTCCAACTTACATCTTGACAAGGACTTGCCCAGGGCCTGGGGTTGGAGTATCCAACTCCACCAGGCGAGTGGAGATCTCGCCCGGGTTGTCATAAATCAAGCCTTTGTGGGTTTTGGGGACTTCCATGGTGAGAAATATAGACTTCGGAGAGGATAAGAGTAGCTAACGAAGGACCTTGGTGGTGTGAATTGGGAAGAATTGGGAATTGGTTGTTCTTTGTTTTATAGATGAGTTCCGTTCGGGACCCACCCCCGCAATCCTGGGGAATCCGAGCTTCGTGGCCATCTGTTTCCATCTCCAGCCGTCCTCAAATGTCCGCGTTCACATGGCCATCCGTATCTATGTTCCGGCTATAGATGGCGCGCCTACTAACGGGCGCAATTCGAAATTCCGATGTGAGCGAGGATTGCGGGGCATTCTATTGGGATCTTTGGAATAGATAAATACGGCACCATCACAGCAAAAGCGCACATTTATCACCCCAAGCCATATCGCACAACTCCTCACGACCAAGTCAAAAATAACCCAGTCATACACGATGGCCGACTCGACCCTAAACTTCGAAACCTTCTTCAACATAGTCAATGGCGAGAGCCGAGTCTCCGATACCACGACATTCAGCGTTGATCCTTCCACGGAGTCCAAGCTATGGAGTGTACCCGTGGCCTCCAAGAATGACGTGGAAGATGCTGTTCGCTCTGCCAATGAAGCATTCAAGTCCTGGTCTACGACACCCTTTGAGGAGCGAGTGGGCAAGCTCGTTCAGTGGAGACAGCTTTACGAGCCATACATTGAGGATTTCACCAAGCTACTAATGGCAGAGTGTGGCAAACCCCGTGGCGTAGCAGCCGGCGAGGCGAACGAAGTTCTTGCTCTGTTTGATCACAACGTGCAGCTTCGCATTCCGGAAGAGAGGCTCGAAGACGAGAGCCGCATCGCAATCACTCGTCATGTCCCTGTCGGAGTCGTCGCTGCTATCTGCCCATGGAATTTCCCTCTCGTCTTGTCTATTGGAAAGATCCTGCCAGCTTTGCTGACCGGATGTACGATCATTGTCAAGCCGTCGCCTTTTACGCCGTACTCGGCACTCAAATTTGTTGAACTGGCGCAGCAAATCTTCCCTCCCGGCGTCGTTCAAGCCATTGGTGGCGAGGACTCTATTGGCCCGGCGCTCGTTCAACACCCCAATGTCAACAAGATCTCATTCACGGGATCCAGTGCAACTGGAAAGAGAATCATGGCTTCCGCGGCCGCGACACTGAAACGTGTGACTCTTGAACTGTGCGTATAATTCCTCAGCACGGCACTCGAAGAATATCCTGCTCACATAAGTTTTTCTAGGGGAGGAAATGATCCAGCAATCGTCTACCCCGATGTGGACATCGAAAAAACTGCCCCTGAAGTGGCAATGGGCTGCTTCGTCTTCTGCGGTCAAGTTTGCGTCGCCACCAAGAGAGTATACGTCCACGAAAGCATTTACGAGCCATTCCTGAAGGCTATGGTGGATGCGGTCTCTCAAATGGAGGTGGGCAAGGCTGACAGCCCTAGCACTGTACTGGGCCCGATGCAGAACAAAATGCAGTATGACAAAGTCCAGGACCTGGTTGCCGATACTAAAGCCCAGGGCTACAAATTCGCTCTCGCTCCGCGTGTGATAGAAGGAAAAGGCTACTACATCTCTCCAAGCATTGTGGACAATCCTCCTCCGACCGCGCGAATCGTTGTGGAAGAACAATTTGGTTCGTTGATCAGTCCCATGGGAAAAAGTGAACATGCTAATTCCGTTGCATTTAGGTCCAATTGTGCCAGTCCTCAAATGGTCCGATGAAAATGATGTTATCGCTCGCGCCAACGGAACGACTTCGGGCCTTGGCGCATCCGTGTGGAGTGGAGATGCTTCCCGAGCCGAGAAAGTAGCCAAGCAAATGCAGGCTGGAAGCGTCTTTGTGAATTCCTGGGCGAAGACCACGCCTCGGGCGATGTTGTCTGGACACAAAGAGAGTGGAATCGGCGGTGAATGGGGATCTACAGGGTTCCTTGAGTACTGTAACACACAAGTTGTGCACTTATTCAAGTGAGTTCAGGGGTTTTAACTAGTATTTCGATGAGTAATTAGCTCGGCATAACTAGCCACAATAGTATAGGTGCAAAAATAGCCTCTGTCATTGAAAAGGGCATGATCTAGTTGGCTCAATAGTAGTCTTTTGAGTAGTCTTTTGAGTGGTCTTTTTAGTAGTCTTTTTAGTAGTCTTTTTAGTAGTCTTTTTAGTAGTCCTTTAAAGGTTCTCTTCGTGTATATATCTTCTCCCCATCCCAAGTTTTGTAGGTAGACAGAAAAAGACGGAAAAGGCTTAATTTGTGTGTTATACCAATCTAGGAATATCGCCCCCTTAGACCCTAAGCAGGAACCGAGGTCTTCGTTACGGTCTGGTAGGAATATATATTCCACATATAAGCTTGGACATACGCATGTGACGTATAGAGTCCCGTCTATTACCGAACCCCACAGACATTGCGGATGCGGGGTTAATCCGGGGAATAAATCCCTTTTTTCAACCCTTTCTGCTTCCTACTCCTTGCTATCTGTAAATCTCATGCACAATGACTCGTAGCCAAAATCTCCGTGTCTATCGCGCGTGCCAACGGTGTCGTCAGCGGAAACTCAAATGTGATCCGTGAGTTGTACACCTCGGTCACCCTCCGCTCTCACTAACATTTTTCAGGTCCAACTTGTCCGAAGGGACAAAACCTTCCTGCGTACAGTGTCTCCGTTCTAGCAATGAGTGCATGCCCGCCGGGTCACGGCGCGGCGGCGACTTCTCACGGTTTCGACGTCCATACGGGGACCGAAGCTCTACGCCAACGCGGGCTAATATAGGCCACGGACTGCATGACGAACAAAATAGAGACGACGAAAAAGTAATCGACGATCCTATCTACGCTGAATTAACGAATCCGGGTGATGCACTCCAAATCCTTGCCCAACTCGCCGCGAACGACTCCCAGGTTCCCAATCACCCTAATGACTCTACGACCTTCGATCCTTTCCCGGCGACTCCATCCACGAAGCGAGGGGGGACGGATACCGCTTTTAATATAAATGGTCCGATCGAGTCGATTCAACCTCCTGTGTTACAGTCGACATTGTCTGAGACAGAGACATTGGTGATCGGTGTGTTAGGCACAGATACTGTTTGCCGTCTAATACATCAGTATGAAGCCCTTTATATTCCGTGTGCGATTTCCCTTCTAACATTTTCTAGCTACGCAGCAAATTACCACACTTTCTGTCCCCTCGCCCCGAAACGGCTTCTGGCAACAACGGATCCACGCAAGGCGGCAGTAGACGAGCCGTTCCTGCTGACAGTGCTTCTGACCATTGCATCCAAAGACGAGCCCGCATATAAGGATATCCACCAACATTGCTGGAAATATCTCAAGCGGCACTTGTTAGATATACTCCTCGCCACGCCATCCACCTTAAGGGTCGGGTCTGTCGAAGGTCTCCTGCTTCTCTCGGAGTGGGTGCCTTATATGCAACTTGAAACCTGTTCCTATCCTAATATGTTCCCGAGGAACCTGAGTGCCGTCGAGGATAATATGGCCTGGTCACTCATCGGCCAGGCGGTGAGGCATTCTTATCTCCTGCGTCTAGACAAGGCATCCTTTCGGGAGACGGCTCTTGGGGAGTCGCAAGAACTCGAGAATCGAAACCTTCTAGCGTGGATATGTGCGTTCTATAAATTCCTGCTGGTTGTTTAGCAATACTGATTAGCTTAGTTGTATATATCGCCGACCGACAGATCTCCGTCCGTATGGGACAATCATTCTGGTCTCGTGGGCCATCGCTCTCGACGAACTTTACGGCCAATGACTTTCCAACTCTACGGCTCAGGGCAGATGCAGAGCACAAATATGCACATGTGCTACAGGCTACCATTGAGCTCACGCAGCTTCTTCACAACGTGCATGACACTTTATACGCGTCCAAGGAACGAAGAACTCAAATGGTTCGAAGAGGAGACTACAATCGCTACCTAGATGATTTTCGGCACTCCATGTCGGCGTGGAAAGACCGTTGGGACGGTCTCGAGACATCTCCCAAGCTGCACTGTACAATGCATATCTTCAAGGAGTACGTTCGATTGTACGCAAACTCATTTTCTTTCCAGTCACTTCTTTCCAGGGCAGCTCATCACAGTCGCCCTGCGGGAGAAAACCGGGCAACAACTTCAGGGCCAAAGAGAGCCCCCTCTCTGTTTCCACGGGGCATCATGTCGACCGCAGAGGGTGCATATGTGCTCGAAGCAGTAGATGCAGCCCGGGCGATCCTGACAATAGTTGTCCAGACAATTTCTCAGGCGCAGATTCGCTATATGCCGTTCCGATTCTACATGTACGTATCACTATCAACAATACGGATTGTCTCTGGGAATGGCTAATTGATCGAATAGGTATACTGTGTACTCCGCGGTGTTTTTATACAAAGCGGACGTCTTTGGAGCCGTCGTGAGCACAGAACATACCGAAGTCGTCAACTTGGTGCAACATTTTATACAAGTACTTGAGGAAGCTGCCATTAGCGATTCCCATATTGCTAGTCGGTTTGCAAGTTTGTTGAAGCGCATGTGGCTCCCAGACAGGCAATGCCATTCTCCCAAGCGAACCACATCTTCCGCCGCTTCGAACTATGTAAATACGTCGTCACAGCAGTGCGAACTCGCCCGAAATACTGATTTACTCGACGACGGAGCTCGCCACGATCTTGCTTCTAGCATGCAGGTTCCTGAGCCTGCACAAATTCCCACACCATATTTCAATCTTTTTTACCCTGAATTCTCGACTTTAGAGTCCGAGCTGGTCGAATTCGGGGTAGGCTCAACTAATTTCCCGTTTTGAAGCCGAATATATGGGTGGATGTTCATAATTTCAGAGGCATGGAAAGCCAAATCAGTCACCGGATGACAGAAATAAGTAACTAACATTGTATGGGAGCTACCTAGGTATGGTGGTAATATCAAATTCTAAGAAATCATGAAATTGTCAACTTTGTAGCCTTAGAGTACGCTCTTAGCCTGTGAAACCATCAACCAGAGTAGTTACTAACAGAATCAAGGCAGTTCGATTGCCACCAGACCGATGGTGAAAGAGGTTACCATCCATAGGGGTTATTAGACCTTTGTGGCAAAACATTATGATGGCATATCCATACATCTAGAATTACCTCAGAACAACCATGGCCCACAAGCATGAATTGACTGGCTCACACTGAATCCCAGAATATATTAGAATCAGTGGCACAATTAGATACATCTGAATGGTAAGTGCGGAGAAGGACCCAAGGTGATGGTAAATATCATCGTCATGATCAAATCATTGCCACCACCTTCGATACACATAAATACGAACGGTTCTCCCTAGATTTTAGAGGATATATCAAACAAACCGAAATAAATCGACATAATAATTATCACATCTCGTGGTATGCTTCCACTTTGACCCTTTTCCTTTTTGGGGAGAGCATCGGGAGTTGATAGTGGAGGAGGATGCGATGCTCTATAAGAATTTTTGCTAACATTATCAAGACATCATGCCTAAGGATAAAGGTCAGAACAAGGGCGAGTTAGCTTCCGACTGCAGAGCTAAGGCCCACGCTACGGAAAAGGCTTCCCACAGCGAGATGGGGCCTAATGAACTTTTGAGTGAACACATGGATTCTGCTGGCAACCCAGTACCTGATCCAAGCTGGGGCACAACCAGGCCACCTGAGGAGGATGAGGATTTGTTTGAGGCTGCGAATGCAGACACTTCGGAATTTAAGGGTTGATTTGATATGGAAAGGGGGTTTTTCATGAGCGAAAGTTAAAATAATCATACGTATTATTTTCTTAAATTTGCAAGCTATCTACTGCAGGTTTCAATAGCTACATGTATGTTTCAATAGGTTCCAGTACAACATAAGAAGACTAAGTACATATAGTGGAGTTAGTGGGCTCATTGCTATGGCAACACAAGTTATAGACGGTGACACTTCGTAGCGTAGAACCTTGGAAATATCATCTTGTTGCTCTTATTTGTCTGTTGTCGATTTCAATTGGAGTTGCAATTTCAATTTCAATCTCAATTTCCGTTCTTTTTTTTTATATTACATTCTTTCTACCGAATATGACTCTGAGCTCAAGTGTGTTTACTATGAACTGAATCTCCCAAGGAAACAACGACAGTACCGACCCCCTCCCTTTCACTCATTCCTGTCCACATATTCCCTTTCCAATCTCTTATTTTCCCCTCTCAAATCCTCATGTAATCAATCTTGCATGTACCACTCTCTTCTTGATCGACGACGCGACGCCGTCACCGCTTGTGTGCAGCTATTAAGCGACAACAATAGGAACATGGCGCTTGACCCGCGCTTCTATCAACACATCGGCCATTCGGGCCCAGGCTCGATATCTTCAGCCGCTTCATCCGTCATATCGGCCGCCACAGGGATCACCTCACCTAGCATTATCTCGACCTCCGCTTCCGCCGCTACCCTCCGATCTACAGCTTCAAGTCCTTCCTTCCGCGCGCGAGACGGGTTCCCGATATCCAATACCAGAGATGGGATGGCTAGCCCGGCACCAGGGGGAAATGTGCGTGTCGTCGTACGAGTGCGGAAGTTCTTACCTCGAGGTAGGTGTTGTTTGGGAGATTTGCGGGGTGGCGCGGTACCCCGAAAATAGAGGGTGTGTTCTGACCTCATCTTGCAGAAATCGATCGCAAGGCAGAATGTTTGATTTCGATGGACCCGCGTACGCAGATGACCTGCCTGCAAGCACCGAAACCGAAACCCGGCGACCAAGGGAAACTCAAGTCCCACGCCCGCGGCAAGATCTTGGAGGATAAATCTTTTACATTCGATAACTCTTTTTGGTCCCATGATGAGGAAGATGAGCATTACGCGCACCAGGAAGATGTGTATAATGCTCTCGGTGAAGAGTTCCTGGATCACAACTTTGAAGGATACCACACGTGTATCTTCGCATACGGACAGACAGGTTCAGGAAAGAGTTATACCATGATGGGAACACCAGATAGGCCCGGCTTGATTCCTCGAACGTGCGAGGATCTGTTCCAGCGCATCGAGAACTCCCCTTCTCCTGATATCAGCTACAACGTCCGAGTGTCTTATTTTGAAGTCTACAACGAGCATGTTCGCGATCTTTTGGTTCCACGAACAGATCCACCGCATTATCTCCGCATTCGTGAATCCCCATCGGAGGGTCCATATGTCAAGGATTTAACCGAGGTCACTGCAAGGAACTACACTGAATTGATGAAGTTTATGCGAAAGGGCGATGTCTCACGAACCACGGCTAGCACAAAGATGAACGACACATCGTCTCGATCTCACGCAGTCTTTACCATCACTCTCAAACAGATCCACCATGATTTGTCAACAGATGAGACGACTGAGCGCACTGCTCGGATTCGGTTAGTCGATCTGGCAGGTTCCGAGCGTGCCAAATCTACCGAAGCAACTGGCGCTAGACTTCGTGAGGGTGCAAATATCAACAAGTCTTTGACTACGTTAGGTCGTGTCATTGCAGCGCTTGCCGATCCCAAGAAACTCCGCGGCCCACGAAAGGGCAAAGAACTCGTACCATATCGCGATTCGATCCTGACATGGCTACTGAAGGACAGTCTAGGCGGCAACTCCAAGACTGCGATGATTGCCTGTATCGCACCTGCCGACTATGAAGAGACACTTTCGACTCTTCGTTATGCGGACCAGGCCAAGAATATTCGGACACGGGCACGGGTCAATCAAGATCAAATGTCGGCAGCTGAGCGTGATCAACAGATTGCGGAGATGACAGAGACAATTCGCGCCCTACAACTCAGCGTGAGCCAAGCAGCAGTCAACCAGCGCGCAAGCGAAGCCTCCGATGAAAGGCTCGAAGAGTACCAGCAGAAAGTCGAGAAAATGCAACGCCTCATGGAGGAGAATAAGATGGTCAGTGAATGCAAGATTCGACAACTACAAACAGAAAACGACGCTTTGCGCATGCATCTGAAGCTAGCGGTTGAGAGTCTCAAAAACCCAATCCCGGCCATTACCCTTGAGCAGCGAAAACCTAGCATTTCGTCCCTGCAAGATGAGAATCAACCGCCCAGTCATGACCCAGAAGACCGTGAAGGCTCTCCTTTAGTATCAGATGCCGAATCTGAAATAGACGTTTGGGAAGATGATGATACCGTCACCGATGATATCACCGACGAAGAGGCCCAACAGATGCAAGATTACATGCATGAGCTTCTTGGTGACCTGAGTGTCTTCAAGAGAAAGCTGGCCGCGGACCATGCCCGCTTCCGTCCAATCGAGGAGCATACGACTCAGAAACGCCGCGCCTTAGGAACCCTTGTCAGCAATTGTTAACATGTGAATACAAGTTTATTTTTATCTTTTGGGTGTACAGGGATTGCATGGTGTTGGTGGCGAGCTCTTTGTTTGCACTTCCTTGTTTGAATTAGGACCAGACTAGTTTTGGCCCGTGTACTTAGTTCTTTGACAGCGAACCCTGCGATGAATAATGAGACATTTGACGTTATGTATGTTTCAATGCTAGCTACCACCATTCTTTCAGGCCGCATTCTTATATGAGGCTATGTCCTTCAATCAGCAGTTGTAAATTATTTCTGTTCAGTATCTAACCGAAGACAAACGAGAAACTGAGAAAATTCAACGATTATAGTTACACTGTTTATTGTATGCAATGAACCGCAAGTTAGGGCTGCGCCGCTCAGTGAGCCGCTTATGGCATCATTTCATTTTGCGTGAGTCAACCCTCCCTCCTCCCCACCATCTTCGCAGAACCACACTCACACGTGAATCAATTCACAGACAAGATGACGGAACCCTCCAATTCAGTGCCGACCGCGCAAGTCTTAACTCCTGCCTCGTCAGCACTAGAGCAATCTCAACCCGTGACCGAAAACTCTCCGCAGACTCTCCCGATCCGCGACTCAAAACCCACTAAACCCACCGGAGATGCGCCCGCGTCCACAGACGGCACCACAGATAAGCCGCTTAGCCCAGCCGAGTTGAAGAAGAAAGCCAAGGCTGATAAGGCTGCCCGACGTATCCGAGAGAAACTCGATAAGGAAGGAGGTACCATCGGCAGTGCCATTCCCACTCCTGGTGTCGGTGCCCAGGCGCGTTCACCAACTACGCCGAAGAAGGATGCCGCTGGTACTGGCTCTGCACAGAAGGGACCCCGACCTCTTACCCCGCGCCGTGGCTCGGGTCCTCTCGCGCAAACTGGGTCCGTTCTCGTGGAGCAAAAGAAAAAGAAGGATGATAAGAAGGTTGCTGTCTTCGGGCATTTGTATGGACAACAGCGCCGTGTCACCGTCGCCGGTGCCACAAAGGAAGTGCACCATGCCATCTTGGCCTTGGGTATGCAGCTGATGGACTACACTATCTGTGGCAGCAGTGCGCGCTGCGTGGCAACGTTGATTGCTTTTAAACGAGTATGTTGTTGTTCTTCTGTTTCATGCTGGTAAGACATGACCCTAGACTGACAAGTCACTTTCTCAAGGTCATTGAATCTTACACAACCCCCATGGGCACCTCTCTGGCTCGCCACCTCACCACCCACCTCTCGTATCAAATCACCTACCTCTCGACATGCCGACCCCTCTCCATCAGCCAGGGAAATGCTATCCGTGCCTTGAAGCTCTTCATTGCCGGCATTGATCCCTCTACCCCCGAGACGAGTGCGAAGATCTCACTCTGCGAGTACATCGACAGCTTTATTCGGGAGAAGATTACCGTCGCCGACCAGGTGATTGCAGACAGTGCAGCACAGAAGGTTCAAGACGGCGACGTGATCGTAACATTTGCCGGCAGCAGCATTGTCAAGCAGACACTTTTGTTAGCGCACAACCAAGGCAAACGATTCCGCGTCTCGATCATCGACTCAAGGCCTCTCTTTGAAGGCAAGAGCCTCGCCCGCGATCTCGCCAAGAGCGGGCTCGACGTCCAATACTCCCTCGTCCACGCCATCACCCACGCCGTCAAGGATGCCACAAAGGTCTTCCTTGGAGCTCACGGCATGACCAGTAACGGCGGCTTGTACTCCCGCGTCGGCACCGCTCTTGTTGCCATGTCCGCCAAAGAGCGCGCCAGTGGCGTCGAAATCCCCGTCATTGTCTGCTGTGAGACAATCAAATTCACCGACCGCGTCGCCCTCGACAGCATCGTCGTCAACGAGATCGCCGACGCCAACGAGCTGCTACCCTTGAACACCCCTGTCTCCCTCGTCGTTCGCGACCCGGCAGATGCGTATGTCCCCCCTCCGCCTGAGAACAAGAAGGGTGGAAACCGCACCCCGGCTCCCGAACCTCCTGTTGTCCCGCACAAGACCTCTTCGTCGCCTCTCGCGAACTGGCGCAACACTCCCAACCTGCAGCTGCTGAACATCATGTATGATGTTACGCCTGCGGAATACGTCGACATGGTTATTACTGAGATGGGCAGTCTTCCTCCCAGTGCTGTCCCGATTGTCCACCGGATGGTGACAAACCTGTGATGTAATAATTCTTCGCTTTTTTCTGCAACATGGTCATGAATCTGGAGCGTATCGAACCTGTAATCTAAATTAAAAGCAATGAAAGTGGTTCCGACTGCTTAGGCGTCATGATTTCCAGGTCTGTTTTGTCTTTCTCCCTTTTATCCTTGTTTTCCGTTTGGAATCCTCGTGGGTCAGCATTTGGGCTGGTTTGTCTGATTGTATGTGTATGTTTTTCCCATTGCTTACATTTATTTTACTCGTTGGAATTTTATTTTAGAACAGGATGAACAGACAATAAATCTCTTTATGTACAATCGGCTTTGGAATACGGAATACTTGGTTCCCAATGTCTATAGGATTGCAGGGCTATTTGTACACGCCATCAGGACATGCCGTGGGAAGTAGATGATTACCCCGGAAATGGACGCTTCTCTATACAAACTCAAAAAAGCGCCACAACCATAGATTTGCGAAAAATAAACCGCAGCTTGCAACAATGTACATACACATACGAATTAAAAAAGACAAAAAAGAAATCGACAGCTCAGAGATTCGAACTCTGGTCCCCGAAGGGACTCGCTTAGCAGGCGAGCGCCTTAACCACTCGGCCAAACTGCCAATAGATGATAGTTTGCCACTCAATGAAATATATATTCCATAAGCTCAACGTTTGCTCTACTAAGACTTCAAGTTAGATGGTTTACAGGTTGGTGGATGTCTTGGTAGACTATGAAATTGTGCTAATAATTTCAGGGTTCGGAGCTCAGGGGTTTATCCATCTATACGGCTGTACAATGATAACATAGATATGCGAGATGAACCATTTATAGTCGTCGAGTAGAGCCTTTGAACATCAATTGATCTCGTCACGATCTCTAAATGGCCACCCCTTCCTCAGGAGATCAATGTCTTCTTTGTCACCCTCCGCAATAGCTATGAGAGAACTCTCAAGCTCGGCAGACTTCCGAACAGCCTCTTCGAAATGCTCATTGCTGACCCAGCCATCTTCACTTGTTACTCCTATCTGCTCCCGCCAGTGATCCACAACTTTGTTGATATTAAACCATAGTTTCTCCTGTTCATAGAAGCCATCCAGCTCCGCATCGGTGAATCGCACAGGACAAGGTATTCCCTCTATATCAGACAGGTGGGGCCAGTAATCAGCCATGCGGACTAATGCCCCTTTCAATGTCATCAAGTTTCCACTCCATTGCCTGCCGGCCCTATCAACAAGATGCTGGCGAGGAAGAAGGATGGGATCACGAAGAGCTTCGAGGTGCGCCTTGTTCAGGTGACCATTAAAGATACGATAGTAATAAGAGATGAGACGGCGTCGCTGGAGTTCATCAGCTTCGACCTTTTTGTCAGCCGGAAGCGTTTCGTATTCCGGTGGAAGTGATGGTTCTTCAAGATGAGGGGTTTCTTCTGCATCTGGGTTCTCGAATGTACGGGGGTAGCCTGCAACCAGCAAGCGCGGCTCAATTGTCGTATGTTGCCAGTCAATGATACACGAGATGGCGCCAGAATCGGGGGAGACAAAGATGTTATTTGGGTTCAAATCTAAAGATTGTCAGGCTTTGTCGGTGATGACTATGAATGGGACGTACCTGGGTGGCGGAGAGTGGGCCGATTAAGTGAACTGTCAGCAGCTTTTGGAAGTAAATATGGTGCCAATGCAAGGTACTTCTCCAGAAGACGGAGATAATCCTCGGGGTCTTTTGTCCCAGGGAAGACACCCATTGTGGGGGAAATCAAGTTGTAATGGCTTCCCATACCGCTGAGTCCATTCAATTTCCTTCTGTGCGACAGATAAAAGATAATCTTTGGGGTCGTTCCCTGTGATAGTCAAAATCCGAACTTCGAAGTAATGAAAGTTACACTCACATGGACCACGGCGGAGATTCAGACCGGCCCTTCTTCCATGCCAAAACATGTAATCCGCAGTTGGACCAATGCAAAATATCTCCGAGTCTTCGCATTTTTCAGCGCTCGCTATATATAGCGCAGCTTGAAGTTCAACTGGGGCATCTTTTTTGAAATAAATGCTCCCAATAGACCGGAAAGGAAGATCAAATAATTTCTTCTCGATTTCAACAAAACTGGATGCCAGTTTATGCTGTTCACGCTTGCTCATACTCAGCCATCTAGTCTCCAGGCCGACGCCTGAAGCTTTTTCCATGATGATGTATTCCACACGGGCGGGATTGGTGTCTGAGGAGGAATATCCATACATTTTAGGAACAGGGATACCCTTAGAACGGAGGTATTGCATGCTGGCAGCTTCGCTAGCGGTGGCATAATGTTTCGGCCCCGTGATAGGATACGGAATCTTGACAATAACCTCCAATCCATCCTCCATCGTCGAAAGGAAAACCCGGTTGAAACCGCCTTCCGCAATCTTGGTAATGTGAATGGGATGTCCGTGGCTTGGGCCAAGGTGCCTTTCAATTTCTCGTAAAAGGCCATCCTGGCTGAATTCGACATAACGCTCACGTAAACGAAGGTCTTCATTGTAGAAAAACCTGCCGGAGGTATAATTAAACAAGTCTCGGGACTCCGGAGAACCTATTAGATATGATTGTCTATCAATACGAATCACTCGTAACGTAAGGTGCGAAGGGCTACCAACACATGGAGAGAAACCCTTTCTGAAATGAAATACTGCACCTGGATGGAGATAAACTATGCCATCTTGCGGTATGCTTGAGCATTTCCAAGGTGATGTTTATCACGATCTCACGGGTAGGATGCTCTTAACGGCGACTTGACGCATTCCGAATTCGATGTCATATGTAGGCAAATTTACGTAGCAAATTGTTGTGGCTGAGAAGGTACAAGTGGAGCGTAATATTTATAATGCAGTTAAGCTTTCTAGGCTGGGCTCTGTTGGTTATGTAGTGGGTAACTCTTCATGGGTAAGAGATGAAAGGGGAAACTTCCAGAGGTCAGCTATCGCTCTTAGTAAGCACATAGGTACCTCTCCAGGGCTAGTTACCTACTTATGTGCAGACAAGTACTGGGTGTCTTACAGTCTTATATTTTCGGTTAGTGAGTGCTTAATGGTTGCGCGATAATGATCTAGGGTTGTTAATAACCGCCGCTCAAGGTTCCAGATGAGTATCGCTCCTATATATAAAATGGATAGGCCGTGTGATTATTGTTCGCTGTCTATTGCGTGATCCCATTGTAATCGACTTGGTTGACATTCAATAGGAAGTCGGGGGTTTTTAAAAACACAATTCAGATGTTAGGTGGCAGAGCGAGCTATAAATCTTTATGTAGAATTAAACCACTCATCGTCCAAGAGCTGCTGAGCCGAAGGTCTATCCCTAGGATCAAGCTTCATGATCTTGAGAATGAACTTTTTGTCCTCCACTGAGACCTCCTTTGTTGAAATATGTGTAAACGGCATCTGCTTCCCATGAAGACTGCTCATAACCTGCATAAGCATAGATAACGTGGAAGGGGGTGCGATTTCCTGATAGGAGATAGGAAATGGTCCAAAGAATTGACACTGCCTTGTAAGAATCCTATGCTCATATTCATCATGATCAGCTGGGACATCGGGCTTGAACATGAAGTAGTTATCGCCATAGATCAATGTGATAAGCTAAGAATATAAGTTAGCAGGAACAATATACGGGTGATTGTTACACGCATTGCACGCATACTATTGTACCAAACGACCATATGTCAGTCAGAGTACCCCAACCAATTCGAAGATGAGCCTCAGGGCTCCGCCAGATAGGTGCCCCTATCAAATCACTATCGGTCGCATACTTGGAGGTCGCAGGGACAGTACTTCCAAAGTCTGCAAGTTGCACATCAGTGAAGCGCACGCCCTCGACTTCTGTACCGTAGTTCACGAGAATATTGTCTGGTTTGACATCTGCCACGATATAGTCAGATTACAGTCTGCACAAAATTTGCGGTGATATTGACCGGTATGCACAAATCCGTCTAGATGTAGCACGTTTAATGCTTGAAGAACTCGTCTAGCAACGTATTTGATTTCCACTTTGTTGAGACTTTTGATTGCTGCAGCACTCAGAAGATGGTCGTCTAGGTGTTTTAGGACGATGGCTGGTGGATCTCGGGGTTCAATAATCTCGTCAAGCAATGGACGCAAAAACGGGCTACAGCTCTGGAATTTTTTAAGCACATCTCGCTCGTTTCCTAGGCGAAAGTGGCGAACACTTTTAATGACCACTATTTGGCCGATTTGAGACCTTTCACAATTAGCCTTTTTCGTAGACTCGCCCGGCTAATATCCGCGCACCTTGCCAACCAGACACAGTCCTGGACATGCTTTATAATAGTATACGAGGTCACTTTGCCCTTCAAACTCTGACCAAGATGAAATAATGCAGACATTTTCCTTCGACTGTTGATTAGTTATTCAGGAGAAGAATGGAGCAAGAAAGATCGCAGCAACTCTGGTAAACAAGGGGCGTTCAAGTCTCACCGCCTTTCTTGTGTCTCACCATCGAGGTCAAGATCATCTAGGGTTAAATTTGTCTTCACAAGACGAGACAAGCTGAGGAGCCTTGGATATCGACATGATTGAGATAAGGTTTATTGTGACGAGGATTCTTTGTCAACGCCATTAGGATCCTTTGGTAACAAGCTGCTGGCGCAGGACGCGTTGCTATGGTACAGGGCCTGACCTGGTACAATAAGAATATACTACGTACAGGGACCACCCCACCTGAGCGACCTGCGGCGGAGATCCATTTCTCGGATTATATATAATACGATATTCGAGGTTTATCCGGTGGTGATGAGTCTTGAGCACGTCGCATAGCCCAGGGGAACTTGTACAAAGTAAGTCAAGAGATAGGACCACCAGTCTGGAAAATAAGTCATAAACTATTTATTGTAGGTATCAAGGTAGATGATATCATTTTCATGAAGCAAAAAAAAAAAACGAAACGACAGCTCAGAGATTCGAACTCTGGTCCCCGAAGGGACTCGCTTAGCAGGCGAGCGCCTTAACCACTCGGCCAAACTGCCGATTGATGACATGTGGTACACTTGCTTGTATTATCAAGGAGATACAACAATCAGGCATTTACGGTCATGTACACATGTCCAACTAACCAGTCTTGGAATGTCCAATTTATGTGTACAGTCAATATTTGATCGTTCTGTTATATCCAATCATAAATGAGGTTTATGGTCAAGGGCAGGTCAAAGGAGTCAGTCCTATGGATGTATGCACTGTTGTCGAGATCAAGAGAATAAACAAAGGTCGTGTTGTAATTATATGGCACTTGGGAACAGTTTTGAGTGAATTTCACTGGCTGTAGATCTGAGATATTAGCCTGCCGGTATTGCTGGCTCCAGATTTGCTGTGTGTGATTCAGTAATTCCCTGGCAGATATGTATATATATTTCCTTTCGAGGCCCACATGCTGTACTTCGTGGAAGTAATCGACCCCAGAAATAAAGACATATGGCACCCTTTCAACCACCCGCCCTCAGAAAGGTCGGTGCCTTATGCGGCTTTTGTCCTCGATGAAACGTTTTAGTAATCTGATCCACAGATGACCGAAGAGATATTATGCTTAGATTCTTCGACAAGGCCTTTCGTATGTATTTGTTGGATGTTACCGCGACCCACCTATCAGTATCCCAGTTAAAAGAATGAAGACAATTTATCTGCAGGTATAAAACAAAAGGAATAAAGATCAGGTGGCGTAGGACCAAAGAGATCTCGACAAGGCAAACGAAGCCCAGGTACCTCTATCCCCATTGACACTCCGGTTGGGAGCGTATTATCAAGCCTATGATGATCAAGTTTGACGAGAGCTGATATTAATTGTTTAGAAAATAGATGACTAAAACTTTGCATAGTATTGTATTGCGACACTCCCATTTGTCGCATCATCTGGAAACTACCTATACTTTCGTGGAAAGCCTAAAATGAGTATTTAGACCTATCGACTCGAAAAGTGCACTAGCTTCCAACTGCTTCCAATACTATCGGTCATAATGATTTATCTTGGGTAACTGCAATATAAATCTGTTGGGTGGCAAAATATCACCAAATAGGCAGTTTGGCCGAGTGGTTAAGGCGCTCGCCTGCTAAGCGAGTCCCTTCGGGGACCAGAGTTCGAATCTCTGAGCTGTCGATTTCTTTTTTCTTTTTTCCCCTCTGTGTATACACTTGAGGAGTTATTCCCCCCTTCTCACTTTTTATACATGGAGCCATTTCCTTCTTGCGATACGTGGATATGTTTTCTAAAGCCATATGCCCAAGTGATTGCCTTGGATGTGTCATCGAAATTGCACACGTGATATGAGCGGTGTACCCAAGAGCTATTTTGCCGTCAACAACCGTCAACACGCCGATAAGGCATAGTGAGCCTCAACAAGTTCATTGACAAGATATTCTCACATCTCTTAAGATCCCCATAAGCGGATCAAAGATCCCTCAAAATGGTAAATACTAAACCCTAATTTTACCTAGAATTCCCTAGACAGTCCACCAATCCCCAAGCTAACACCAAACCACCAGAGCAAAGACTCCTCCGCCTCATACCTGCACATGCACCAACCGCGGCTAGCAGACCTCTTCGAAGAATTTACACGCCCACACACCTCAACAGCCACCAACTCAACAACAGACCCACACAACGCCAACAGCGCCTCCGCCGCAAACCGCGAAGCAGCAAGCACAAATGCCATACCCTACGGGTCGACCTCTCCCTCCACAATCCCCTCATTCCTGCCAATAGAAGACATCTACGTGGCACCGCAATACCAGCCCCCGAACCCTGAAGACGAGGATGATGTCGTCCCAGACCAGCATGCGGCGTTCGGCATCACTCGCGCCATGGAGCGGAGACGAGAGGCCGTGTGGCGCGATCTTGGTCTCGAGGCGCTTGTTAACGGTGAAGGGTATGGACCTGATGCTGGGCCTTTGACTGGTGCTGGAGGTGCTGGGGCTGCAACCTCCGGGCCTGGGGCTACGCTGCGGGGTAGTGGGGGTGGTGCGGCGGCCGCTGGGGCGCCTGTTATCAGGGTCAGGGATTCTGGGCGGAGGATGGGTGGGCGTAGGGTTATTGGGTTGCGGTAATAGGCATCAGTGTTTACTGAGCCTTTTGAGGAGTTGTCTTTTATTGGGATTGGTGCTGCGAAAGCTAGGCAGGTAAATGGCTGTCTTGTGTTGCATTTTTTACTGGAGCATATTCTTTCGGGCTGGATAGCCTTGTTATGATACCCACGTTGGATGTATCCTTCTGTTGTTATGATATATCTTGAAGATCATTGATTCGTTTCCGTTTGCGATTTCGTTCCAAGAACCGCCAATATCAAATGGCTGCAGACCTAACTTAGTCTGAGCCTTAAACGCCGCGCGTAATGCGATATGATTATACAAGCCCCTAGATACGAATGATGTCGACCCGAACCCGCTCGTACAGTTTGTGGCTCAGTTGTTTCTGTTCGCGCTCGTCTTCTGCCAACAGTCGGGGATGGACGGCCATTTGGGCGTATGAGCCCGCGGCGCGACGCTTTGATAGGGTGCCTGGGTTGATGACTAGCACACTGTCGACGACCTGCAGAAGTTATAAGGTTAGCACCATTATGGAAGGTGGAAGCAAAAACTTTCGGCTAGGGATAACATACTTTCACGAAAGGCGGCAGCATACTAGGCACAATTAGAATATCAGGCCGGACATTCCACCACTCGCCTAGTTTCATGTAGGGAATATCCAGCATAGCACCTGTAGCCATGCCACCTTCGAAGCCGGGCTTTGGAAGATTTGACCGTGCAGTCGGAGGGAACAAGGGGAAGAAATGGCGTTGCTCGATGAGATACTTGGGCAGACGGGTGAGCAGGTTACCCTCTGCGGGTCGACCATGCAAGACCTCTTCGCGGCGAAGTTCGGAAAGCACATCGTGTGAGCACATTCCAATAACGCATTCGTTGAATGACAATGTGGCGGGATTCGAGACAATGCGGACCTGCTTAGGGAGACCAAGGTCCTTCCTGGGGAGCTGCTCCTGGGGCCAGGAGACGTGCCGGCTGAGTATATCACGCACAGACGGAACCAACACGATCGTGATGCTTGGGACAGCTGCTGCAAGTCGTGCTAGTGACGCTGAGATACAGTGCCGGAACATTAGGGACATTGTAGCTGTGTCCGGATCGATGCCCTTGATGTCTGGCAGGTCAAAATCGCCCGATGCAAGAAGAGGGTGCTCGATGTCCAGGAACGGTCCCATCAGCACCAGACTGTCGGCGTAATTTTCGGCTGCCTTCTGACATAGTTCCTGCAGTGGCTCGAAGTCCAGATTGTCGTCCGCTGTGTAGGGGCCGGCCGCAACCATGGTATTAAGCGGTGGGTTTGCATCTCCGTCGAGTCGCTCGTTGATGCTGTCTAGTACCATAGCTGAAGATACGGCCGGTGGCATCAGGGGAATTGGGAGCACTTCCTTGACAGTGAAATATTCACCAGAAGGGTTGATTCCTCGGAGAGCCACGATTTGGCCTGGGAAAAAGTTCACCGAGGGTACGGAATCCACCTTCAATGGGACTCGTCTGCCGGCTCCGGTCCGACGCGAAGTCTCAAGTACGAGGGAAGCTGGGTTCAGTTTTCCCTCGAGACTGTCGGAAGCGATCCGCCCGACAGCAATAATCTCGCTTGTGCTCTGGATAGCTGCACTTCCAAATGTAATATCGTCTGAATTGAATTCTGCCTGGAATATAGTCGCGAACTCGTCTATACGATCATCCAAAATTTCCGATGCTTCTGACAATTTCATGCCCATGGGCTTGTAGCCAAGCTTTTTGAGATCCGTATTCGCGGTTGGCTTGATGCGCGCCTCGGAAAATGGCGCCATTGGGGTTTCTGGCTGGGATAGGTGCGCATTGAGGGTTTCTATCGTTTGACCAGGATTCGGTCGATCGGAGAACGAAACTGCTCTGTTCCTGATGTCAGCACCTTCAATTGATCATACACGCCCCGAAAGTACATACTGCATGCCATCGCCAGGTGTTCCAGTTGGTGTTTTTGTGCCGGCTTGTGATCCAAACTTTTCGAACTTGCTCACTTTTGGTGTAGCGGGGGATGTGAATTCGGCCTTGCGCTTCGCTGATCCAAATCCATTCCCAGTTCGAGTATTCGAGCCAGTTGGTGTCAATTGATCGAACATCCCAAACATATCGCCACCAACTGCAGCCGCGCCCCGCGGAGTGGCTGTGTTTGCGGTTCGTTTTTCTGTGTGTCGGCCAGCCTTGTCACGACTTTCGCGTTCCAAAGCTTCTTGGACATCTTGCTTGAAGCCTCGCACTGTTTGCATAGTCAAGGTCACCCCTTCGCCCATCTTTATGCTGTATGATTCCCATTTGTAGAACAGCTCCTCCG